TTTTTTTTTTTTTTTTTTTTTTTTTTTTTTTTTTTTTTTTTTTTTTTTTTTTTTCGATCGACGCGTAATATTGCCATAAATTTCATCGCGAAGCCGAGAATTCCACAGTGTTTTTGGCTTTTTCTGCATCTTATTGAGACTCAATATTTATATTATAAAATACTATATCACTGTTCGCAAATCGTCGGCGAGTTAGAATATTGGTTTCGGAAAATTCCAACAATATTCTTGATATAATATATGCGAATACGCCGTCCAAATATTTACAGTACATCTGACTTTTCGAAAACATTAGCGTGCACGTAATAATGATATAACGATATGTCGAAAATATGCAAAAGAGAAAGAGAGAAAGAGAGAGAGAGAGAAAGAGGGAGAGAAAAAGAGAAAGAGAGAGGCAGAATAAAAGGGATTAGATTGTATCAACAGCGGCAAGATCTTGGATTAGAGAGACCGGTAATTAAAACGTTTTGCGCACAAAGTTTGCGCTATGTCATTAACTGTGTCGAGTCTATATTGACTGTACGATGTGCTCGCTGAACTTTCATCACGCTTCTGAATACCTTGATACGCATGATAATGTCATGCGATTGTCACGTTTTATTCGTCGTGCCGTTCGTGTCATCTCAATTTTACGCATGCGTGGGTACGATGAAAGTCACTCACTGAATATATTCGAGTTTATTCATTATAAAGAAAGTCCCACCAGAGCAAAACGTCGTCTTCGCTGAGTCATTAGGAACTCCGCTTGGGACCAAACCGGAGAAGAATACGAGTTTGTTTTTAATATCGGAGTCGCTTAGCACAGCAAAGTTTAATGGATTTTGACGAGTTAGAGCTCGAATAACCGGAATGTATAAATGGAACTTTGTTTCCCATCCTGTTTTTTTTTTTTAAGGTGGACCCTAATGTAGTAAGGAACGTGAAAGAATTTATCGTTTTGTGCGCATCAGAATTTATAATTTACCGAAGATATTTTTCGCTGAGACACATGTCTTGAAAGTATTCTTTCCCGATATATCATATCGTGCATTATTGATGTCTTTCATCGCTTGTTCTTTTTATTCGACTCCGCGATTTATCTGGTTTTGCTGAGGGGAGTACGTGCGTCGGTCGGCGTAGAATAAAATTTTTAGAAAGTGAAATGTTTACTCTATGGTACGATTACGCCGATTACAAGGCCGGTTGTATTTTAACCGGTATTATATAGAAACATTTGGACCGAGGTCGCGTCGCTTACGATAACCTGAATAACTCGGGCGATTAGCGACGCATCTTATATGGCGGAGACGAAAGAAAAACTGATGTTGGTCTCTTCGACGAGAGCGATATCGTATAACTTGACGTCATCCATGATAAACTAAACGAGATTCGGCGAATATTTTGTATCTCTTTCGATTTTGATTAAATATCGCGTCAAATAAACATTGCAAATTTCATGTGTTTCTTTTGCTCTAAAAACTACCCTTCATCTTTTTAAAGTACATTTTCTTAAAGGTTCTATTTTTATAGGGAAACGAGCAATGAAAGATTGTCTTTCCATTATGGTAATAAAGATGAATTTTTTTTAAAGAAAAAAGAGAAAGAGAATAGCAACTAGGTGTATTAATAAACATCACTATTCTGCATATTAATCAGATCTCTCGTAGAAAGATTGTTAGCGATACGCTTACTAAAGTGCGACGCAGACGTGTCCTTAAATGGCTACGTGATCCTGCAAGTTTTCCTAGACACGGACTCATTTTTTTCTTGCCTACGCAATAGTGATTCAACCGTCTCAGAATGCTGCTTTAATACACCTTGAATACTTCATTTGGTGTTCGAGTTGATGCTTCCCACGTGTATTGGTTCGAAAGCGAAACTGTATTATTAACAATATCGAGAAGATAGAAGCTAATCATGGTGTTGTTATTTACTCAATTAAAATTACATTTTATATATTTACAAACAGTTTTAATATGTCGAATTATGCATCTCTTCTTCTTGAATCAGTCACCTAATGTTGTTCCGTTTTTATCGAAATTTTTATCATCATCGTTGTAAACAATCCAAGACTTTCTGTGCAACATTGTCCGTCAATAATTAACTCTACGTTTAACCTCTTGACGATAACTCCGGACATCCACATTATCTTTATGCCGAAACACATCGCAAATTTAATAAGCGTTTGCGTTTATAAATCAATGTCTATCCGCTGCGATATAATAATTGTAATATATCTTGTGTTATCACTTCAAAATAAAAACATTTGATTAGTGTATCTTATACAATACCGATATACGCTATTGTGTATCTCATATTTATATTTTACATAATTATTTACAGCTGCTGTCAGATATCGATAAGTGGGGCATCGACATCTTCAGGATAGGCGATCTCAGCAGCAATCGACCCCTCACTTGCGTGGCGTACACGGCCTTCCAGAGTCGAGATCTGCTCAAATCGCTGGCAATACCGCCCAAGACCTTCGTTGCTTTCATGATGACCTTGGAGGATCATTACGTGAAGGATAATCCCTTCCACAATAGCCTCCATGCAGCTGATGTGACCCAGTCTACTCACACTCTGCTCAACACGCCCGCCTTAGAGGTCAGTATAAAACTAATATATATTTTGTTTTATACATTATGCCGTTCGCCCGAGTGTAGAACTCGGATAGCTTGTTGTCACCTACATGATAAGCTGCCTACAAATACCTTTTCCCATTGATGAGTGCGAGATACTTGTTCTTCGTAAAAGGAAGAATCGAGATATCAGAAGAATGATAATTCTTCTCTCTGCGATAACTCATCATAAGTGATGTGTTGTCTATTATATTACAGTCCGTGTTCACACCGTTGGAGATCACAGCTGCATTATTCGCGGCTTCTATCCATGATGTAGACCATCCAGGACTCACGAATCAGTTCCTCATTAATTCAAGTAAATATCGATAGTTTATCAAAATTTTTGTTTTGCCTAATAGTATTCGTTATTCATTCGCGCTATGTGAAATATTTATATTTTAAGCAATGTATCATATTTTTTATCATATAAAAGAAAAAAGAAAGTATGCAATTAATATATTCTCTCTCTCTTTGTTCCTGTTTCATATTTTTTTCTATTCTTTTTGTTTCTATGATAATGGAGAGAGAATTAATGGTCCATTCTTTTCTTTTTATCAGGCTCTGAGCTCGCGCTGATGTACAACGACGAGTCGGTGCTGGAGAACCATCATTTGGCAGTCGCGTTCAAGCTTCTGCAGAACGAGGGCTGCGACATATTCGTGAACATGACGAAAAAGCAGCGGCAGACGCTGCGAAAGATGGTTATCGACATGGTACTCTCGACGGACATGTCCAAGCACATGTCGTTGCTGGCCGATCTGAAGACCATGGTGGAGACGAAGAAGGTCGCCGGGTCCGGCGTATTACTGCTGGACAACTACACCGATCGCATTCAGGTGCTGGAGAACTTGGTGCACTGCGCCGATCTGTCTAATCCAACAAAACCGTTGCCGCTGTACCGACGATGGGTGGCTCTGCTGATGGAGGAGTTCTTCCTGCAGGGTGATCGCGAACGGGAACAGAATATGGATATAAGTCCCATGTGCGATCGGCATAGCGCCACAATCGAGAAGTCGCAAGTCGGCTTCATTGACTATATCGTGCATCCCTTATGGGAGACTTGGGCGGATCTAGTGCATCCGGATGCGCAGGACATCTTGGATACTCTTGAAGAAAATCGCGATTGGTATCAATCAATGATACCGCCTTCACCGCCGTCCGACGAAACGCAACAGCCAGCAACGAATGAAAGTCAGCAACAGGATAGGATACACTTCCAAGTGACGTTGGAAGAAGGCGACGAGACCGGCGAGGCGGTAGAAGGTGGTGATACCGGTGGTGATGGCGGCGGTGGTGAATCAACATTTTCCAGCGAGGACGCGGGCGGTGAGACGGAGGAGAACGCCACGGAGGCTGGGATGTGACGGAGGCTCGCCGGAATTTGCAGAAAGTTCCATGAGAAGGTGCATCAGAGCTGGTGGCGCGTGCGTCAGTGACATTCGCACCTAGCCGCGCCTAGCCGCTGGTCCCTTTGTATCGACCTATGCCGCGTTGGCCGGACCACGAGAGGAGGCGGTTGAGATGACGGGAGCCATCTCGATCGGGCAACAAGAGATAACGTCCCGACGACGACGGAACTATGACGGAGGTGCGAAAATGCGTTAGAAAATCGCTACGCTTCGGCTGGACCGAGACGAGCGATGCGAAAGGAGCACGTTTTGCCGTCGTCGTCGTCGTCGTTCTAATTTCGTCTCCGCATCTCATTTGAATTCTATCAAGCGGGAGGGGCGAATCTCTTCACAAAGTACCTGCGCAAATAAAAGCGGCAGCTGCATGTTTGCGATATATATCGAGTGGGTGGCAAGATGTTTTTTTTTTCTTATACACACGCACACACCGAAGATGATGACGATTGTGGGACGGTGATCGTCCATCGTGTATCGATCCATCATCTATTTCTTCGACATATATATGATGAAGATATGCCGCCGTCGAAGGCTGGAAGAAGCCTCTCTTCCAGAATCATGCAGGATCCTTAACAACATATCAACAGTATATACAATGGATTCTAGCTGAAGCATATTAGCGAACAGATCGATGTCACTGTCTTCTTATAGAACGTTTCAAACGCTGCACAGAAATTATCGTGATTCGTGAGTCAATTGAGATTTATTTGCGTACGACGAAAATTCAAAATATGCTCATCAATTTGTTTCTTATGTTATGATATAACATCATATTGTAAATTCAATAACGCGTTACGATCCAATTTTGCGAATAACCGAAAGGACCCATAATAATCGATGTTCAAAATTATATACACGATATCGAACGGATCGAGCACACGTTATCCGATATACTATTGGATAGAAATAAGTGACGAAATATAGGAAAAACAATTAAACGGATACTCAGTTACAGTTAGGCGTTCATCCTTTTGGTTCTTCGACGGTTATTGAAATAGTCACCTACTTATCGGTAGAGAGAAGGATACCTGTCTTTTTAATCGTAAGATTTTGTCATGTTCGCTTTGTAGACATAGAGAAGTTTGTAATTGAATTGTTCGTAATCGAAAACGAGAATCCAGAAGTAGCCGCGTGTCTATAAAGGAAATGCTAGAGCAAACACGTAGAGTATTACTCACCATCTACATGATTTACGAGAAAGGAGCGAGATAAATTCGCTTTTTTTTCCAAATCACGTAATCAATGGGGGAGCACCGAGCAGCAAAACGGGAGGGAGGAAAGCATCGAGATAAGGGGACAATTAATTTTAATATACAACTACGTCGAGAGCTGGCCTTTTCAGTTTGTATTAAAATTAATTACCGAGACGCTTTCTTCTTGCGATACATATACAATATGTACACAAAAGTATACACAAAGAAACACACACAGAGATATACACACACATACAGACACATGATATAAACGCAATACGTACAACTACAATGCGCGCGAAGATATATATCGATAGATGTTTTTAACCAAAGAGTAATATAAGTGATTGTTAAGTTGATTGCCGAGCGTGCCGTTCACCAATACGTCTTCTGGCGACCAATATTCCAGCGACGGTGAACGAATCGTTCTGGAATCTCGCGTGGAACGTGAGAATGAAATCATCCTCTCGCCACGGATATCCGTGAATCGCTCAAATTTGCAAAAATTCGTTCGGTATTCAAAGCGCGATCGCTCCAAACGAATTTGGAATTTATCGCGCCGATAAATCGCCGTTCGAAAGCTCGAACGTCCAACGCCAACCGTCGTGCTTCTTAATGTACAAAATTGACGACACATCCCACGAAGAATTATTCTCTTCCTCTTTTTGACTAAGCCGCACGAAGATATTTTAATTTCGTCGTATTGGTGAAATGGCGACAATTGCGCGCCTCGATAATATCAGGGAAATGAATGTGAAACACGTCTTTTTAAATGACCGAGTGTAATACCGAAGATCAGCCTAAAACAAAATTAACATTATTACTTAAGTCGTAAAGCTTGCCATCGACTGCGCGAAGTGAGAAATTTGGCATACGAGTCTGATTAGGCGTGTATAAGCGGTGACAGCTCGGGCTCATATAATCATACATTTCTTAATCACATTAAGGGAATTACCTTATAATCGCATAACAAAAAAGAAAAAAGAAAAAAATACTACGGAGAAAGCAAAATCTCTATGTGTGTTGTAGACAGTGATCTAGTGAGTGTTTTGGTGCTGGCCACCAAGTTTAGCTTGTAAGATAAACTCCGAGGTTCACGAGAGTCCGCGACTACAATTGTTAAGTCAAGAAGGAGAGTTAACTTAACGAAGTTTTTAGGGCGTAAGCAACGAGGTTATAATAATTATAATAATAATGTAATAAATAATTACTGATAATGGTCATAATATTAACAGTAATAATAATAATTAAAGCGCGATAAGAAAGATACTGATTTACTAATTAGCGTTAACGATAACACTCAACTACGCAAACGAATCGAGATTACGTTCGCTTCACGAAGCAACGTTGTTTGAACGAGGAGAAACAGGAGGAGAGGGACGATGAAGTGTTATCGATGATGTACCTATGCACTGACGCTGAATTGGAACTCGGCGAAAGTATTCGATTAAAAACGGTGATCTTTTTAATTATTTAGTGCGGGTGCGCCTTTGATTGTATTTTGGCGTGGACGAGCGGAAACGCACTCGTTCTTTTTTCCGTAACGTTTTCTTGTCGCTCGTCTCGATGGATCTCGCGGGTATGCGCGCAGGTACAAATATAAAAAAAAGAAACACGCCACAAAATACGGATTTGTCATACGAATCTCATTGAATTATTGCGATTTATCGTATTTCTAAAGTATCGTTATTTGAGCAGCAATCTGTTAATTATTGGTAAGAGATTTGAAAAAATAAAGAGAGACAGAGAGAGAGAGAGAGAGAGAGAGAGAGAGAGAAATGCGAAATAAATTATACAAAACACGCGGGGAATGGCGATCCAACGTTTTTGCGAATATAACAAATCGCATTGTAATTCAATGAGATGTGTGTAACAATATTTAGTAATAATAGAATTATATAATGATGATGAGATGATGAGAGAAAAATAAAAATACCTTGTTTGATTGCTGGACAGTTAAATGAATGTATTAATATCGTGTAATCGTCGTACGAGATATATGTGTAATAAAACATATTTATTGTCGGAATTCGTACTCTTTCTTTTCTTCGTGCCATTTCAACAATTAAGTATATGCGATTATAAAGAATATTTAAAACATGTAAAACATTTGAATTTTTATCAAAAGACTATTGTGTGGAATAATTTATATAAATGATTTTAAACGATAATATAATAAATATCTAAATTTGATATGAATTTATTTTAATAGCAATATTAATTTTCAATTTATAGAAAAAGGATAGGAGACGATGGAGTAGAATAAAACCACGGATTCGTCTTAATTTATTTGTAAATATATTATTAAGTATAACATCTATAATATAATAATAATATAATAATGAAAAACCATTTACATTAATAGGTATCATTGTAATATTTTAATCCAATAGTAAAACACTCAGTTATGTATAGATTCTCGATAGCTTTCAAGCGTGTGGAGATTTTTAGAGTAGTAGTACCATCAGATCGCGCGTGTCACGGTGCAAAACATTTTCGTCGACTGTCTGTATAGTTTCTCCCTCTTCCCCTTCATAGTTACATACAATAGTAATTTCAATAAGATCGATCGCCGCCTCCCCTTAACTTCTCATTTTATTATCCATCCATACGCACGTACACGTACATAAACCGACGTTCCTTAGTGAAAGGTGTGTATCAGGCGACTTTACACCGTGAGAGAGATTATTCTTAATCTATCGTCGTTATTGCGGGTATATCGAGATGCCTTAAGTTGTGTACAGTAACGCTGGCCTCCGATTGAAACTCGAAGAGCGCCAAATCACCGAGCCGTACGCTATCGATAAGGATAACACGTATCGCGAATCGTAACGGAAAGAGGAAGCTTCGAGATACATCCGGATTCGTTCACGCGGATAAAAGTGCCTAGTATAGCGTAATCGACCGAACTTGTTCGGTACCCGATTCGAGAATGGAAGGCCGCAAAAGGAGACATTCTTCGTCATCCTCGATTCCGCAAATCAATTCGCATGCTTAAATATCAATCAGCGGCGCCCTGTCGTTTCTTTTTTCTCTTACGAAAAATAATTAAAATTACCAAGTAACTCTCTCGCTAAGAGTAGAGACGGTAATAGTCGTTGTGTCGTGTTCTCTACAGGTAGTAACGTATGCGCGTGTTCAATTACATTGCTTAAGAAGGACAGGAATTGAATCCTCCAGCGCGTTTTGCATCGTAAATAACCGGATTTAATAAATTTGTTTAACCGCTTAGTAAACGTCGCTTATTGTTAGATTCTTCCTCATGCGCCGGTAGATAGGAGTAATATCGAAATTTCTTTTTGGCAGTCTTGTTAAATATATTGCATGTTCTGCCTGTCGTCGTTTTTTTTTTTTTTTTTTTAGAAATGAAGTAAAGGTATTTGTATTTTCTTCTTGGTGTGTTTTTTTTTTTTTTTTTTTAGAAATGAAGTAAAGGTGGCAGTTTTCTCTCACGACACATCTTACACATTTGATTCGAAAGTTTAAAAAAGGGCGACGCAAAGTCGAATATCATTATTACAGGATGACAGAGGCAACTTAATAGCGAACACGAGTGCAACTACACGAACTATACAAGGTAATCACAAGAACAGAGAGTCTGTTCCTGTCGACGTCTCGGTTCCAAAACTTTACAACAATAAAAACGTAGTATATATATATTTTTTTTCACAATATAATTTATCTTTAAATATTTTTCTGTATATTTGTATATATAACTATGTAACCTTCGATATAAATACCCTGAAATCTACACTCTCGCGATCTATCATAAAATTGAATTCGCCTCCAGCTTGTTCTCTTTTTTTTTCTTCCTTCTTTTTTACATTGTGAGTATCTCTTCGTATCGAGATGCGAGATCTACACTCGATCGTATTTGTCACTATTCGAATCCTTTAAGTCTACTATGTACAAGTAATTTCCCGCAGCTTTCAATCCTAAGATGCAACCTGAATGATGGTCCGCAAGATGGTCCGTATATTTTGTATTTTGCTGATACTGCACAATACCAGGTAGCTAGTTCGTAGAACCAAGATAGATCGCTATATATTATGGGGCACTAACTGACAGGGCGCGAAACGTAAATGTACGTATCTCGAGGATCACGGTTGCGTCTGAGGAGAGACAGTAGCAGTATCTTTACGGCAGTTAGAACAGCCGGCACTCTGAAATCTATCGATAACGTTCTGGAGAAACTTCGCACGCAATTTGTCATTCCCGATTACAGAGGATGCAAAAATCTCGTCATATATTAGAGAGACATAATATACATTATATAAATCCTTTACTGCAAAAAAATTGATTTCTGTCGCATACGTGGCATATTCTCAGTAAAGGATCAAGCACAGTGGGAAGCAATCGAATGCTGATTGAAAACTGCCTTTTTGATCGTTAACTATATCCTTATCTCTCTCATTGTTTCCCTATAGCTTGTTCATTTTATCTAATAGTGTACAATTTATAGCCAACATTGAATTGTCGCGTAGTATATTTATAATATTTATATTTATATATTTATTTGCGTATATATCTAGCTGCCCCCACAAGTATGTATATATATAATCGATTAATATACGCGATCGAATACCGTTCCCGCCCTCCGTCTTGCGATCAGAGAGCCCGTAAGTAAAATATTTTGAATAAAAAATATGTATATTTTGTCGACACATTGGTTTCTGTTGGAGAATCGTATCAAACGATCGCACTGTCGCCGTCTTATAACTCTCTGTCTTCTTTTTATACAGTAATTCTTAATTTTTAATATATATCTAAACCAAATTTTTTTTATAATCGATACTTAATTAGCTCAATTAATTAATTTTTCGAAGAATCTCTATATAATGTACTAAATATCAATTCTGAGAAATCACAGAAAATTTAGAATCTATTTTGCTAATTTCAGACTCTTTCAGAATACGACAAACTATCTTTAAAAATTATATAAAATTATAAAACAGAATTTCTGAAGAGAAACGAACATTATTTATCGCATGCAACTTAATCTACTGTCTCTTTCTTCTCTCGATAACGATATGTTGTATTGCAATGATTTTCTGTCGCATTATTTAATAACTAAACCGAATAATATATTAGTTTTTAATTGCACCTTTTTATGTATTATCTCTTTCCGATATTTCAATTAGTATTTTATCAAAAAACGAACTTTTTTCTTGCGGAAAAATTCTGATTGAATTAAATTATTCAAACATTAACCAAACATTTGTTAAAGCCGCCTTTTAAATTTGCGATTAAACTTCATTAATCACGCATACACACACATCAAAATTATCGTTTACAAATTTCATATTTTTACATCAAAGAAAGTTTGATTGATTTAATATTTCATATATTTATCTCAGAGATTGTTACAATCCAAAATCCTTCCATTGGTACGTTTTCATTTTCGTGTTACGATTATTATAGGATCGAACGGTCGAGATTCTTCGATTTCACTTTACAGAAACTTTCGATGGCGTACAGCCGGTCTCGACCTCACATTTATCGCACGAGGATTAAAGTTCAATAGCGGATCAATGTAACGTTTTTACAGAGAGCTTACAGGCTAAACGCCCCTCTGATATAACTATCTCTTCCGCGAGGTGTACAAAAGAAAATGAGAGATTATTTATAGGAGCAAGGAGTCCGTTTCTTCGTCCGTTATTCTGCCTTATCGTACTAACAGTGATAGTAGTAATAATTACAGTAATAATCGTTCGTACGGCTTTTTCCTTTCTTCTTTCTTCTTTTTACATCCTCTGCTTCAGAGGCAAAGAGAGATTCGTGCCACGAAGCTTTTAATGGAGATGCTTATATAATTACAAGTTGGACGTGGCAATTTTTTTTTTTATTCTTCCCTAAATAAATACATGTTTCGTTCGCGCTTAAAAGCGTCGAATGTGTCCTGCGAATGTGGCAGCGGCTGTGGAGCTATTTCTAAATAAATGGTTATAGGTCTATCACGTCCTTTCTCTCGCGCTCTCTCGCTCGCTTTTACTTCCTCTCAATCTATGAGCAACACTCGTATCGTATAATATTGGCCCCAGCACCCTTATTATTTTCTTTTATTATTATATCATCTCACGCGACGACTAATACAAGCGCAAGAAAATTGCCTTATATAATAAAATTAGATAGTAAATAGTTTACATGAAAATAATTTTTTTTTTTTTTTTAATTAGTATTTTATCAAAAAACGAACTTTTTTCTTGCGGAAAAATTCTGATTGAATTAAATTATTCAAACATTAACCAAACATTTGTTAAAGCCGCCTTTTAAATTTGCGATTAAACTTCATTAATCACGCATACACACACATCAAAATTATCGTTTACAAATTTCATATTTTTACATCAAAGAAAGTTTGATTGATTTAATATTTCATATATTTATCTCAGAGATTGTTACAATCCAAAATCCTTCCATTGGTACGTTTTCATTTTCGTGTTACGATTATTATAGGATCGAACGGTCGAGATTCTTCGATTTCACTTTACAGAAACTTTCGATGGCGTACAGCCGGTCTCGACCTCACATTTATCGCACGAGGATTAAAGTTCAATAGCGGATCAATGTAACGTTTTTACAGAGAGCTTACAGGCTAAACGCCCCTCTGATATAACTATCTCTTCCGCGAGGTGTACAAAAGAAAATGAGAGATTATTTATAGGAGCAAGGAGTCCGTTTCTTCGTCCGTTATTCTGCCTTATCGTACTAACAGTGATAGTAGTAATAATTACAGTAATAATCGTTCGTACGGCTTTTTCCTTTCTTCTTTCTTCTTTTTACATCCTCTGCTTCAGAGGCAAAGAGAGATTCGTGCCACGAAGCTTTTAATGGAGATGCTTATATAATTACAAGTTGGACGTGGCAATTTTTTTTTTTATTCTTCCCTAAATAAATACATGTTTCGTTCGCGCTTAAAAGCGTCGAATGTGTCCTGCGAATGTGGCAGCGGCTGTGGAGCTATTTCTAAATAAATGGTTATAGGTCTATCACGTCCTTTCTCTCGCGCTCTCTCGCTCGCTTTTACTTCCTCTCAATCTATGAGCAACACTCGTATCGTATAATATTGGCCCCAGCACCCTTATTATTTTCTTTTATTATTATATCATCTCACGCGACGACTAATACAAGCGCAAGAAAATTGCCTTATATAATAAAATTAGATAGTAAATAGTTTACATGAAAATAATTTTTTTTTTTTTTTTAAGAAAGCTTGTGTATATCTAAAAAAAAAAAAAAAATGAATAGAAGAGTTTTTACAATATTTGGCTGTTATAAAACAAAGTTAGACAGTAACATCTCGTAACGAGATATCATTCTTGAAAGATGAAAGCAGAAATCTCGGGCCCGAGTGCATTGTCCATTATTTCCGGTCTCGCGGCCTCGAAGGCAGCGTTTTTCGCGAAACTCAATATTTGCATCATTAAGTCGTCGTTTCTCGCATCTTCAAAGGCAAACGTATTCCGTTATATAGTAACGCAAATCCACGCCGATTCTATCTATGAAAACAGCCACCACGCAACACGCTCTCGCTTTGCGTTCTTGCCAGGAGAAACGTAACAGGAGTATTCTGTTACACGAGCGCAATAAACGAGGAGAATGAATTCGGCATATTTAACGTGCTGTAGCAATCACGGTATTCGAGCGTGGTAATGACAAGAGCTAATTTCTGTAATTGCAGTTATTAACAGGAGTGGAATGAGAGGGAGGAATATATTTCGTAGCCGTTGCATAAAATCACATTCTCTGCCAGTAAATTCCTATTTAATTACAATTTATGAATAGGTATCGTTATATCACAATAATGCGAAGTTTATTAAATGATTATGTTACCATTTCATAATATCCTTATATTTTCATAATACGATAACAAATTTTCTCTCATATAATGATGCTTTCTCCAATAATAATCATCGTCATCTCTCGATCGATCTCTCTCGTAGCGTAGGAGAACGTGCACAGGGAGATCGTATTTCGTGGATGCATCTCGATTTTTATGTACATACATTCGTAAAGCCTCGCTTCCGGACTCGGCTCTGCCACATTCGCGGGCCTGGCACATGCATCTATATATTATGTATATATACCTTACCCGTTTCCGACTTGTCTCTTTTTTATTTTTCTTAATCACTTCACTCGCCTCACGCACCGCGCTCGCTTATATCCTAAGATTGATTATTTAGTTTTACCTCTCTGTCTCACCGCGTCTCCCAGAACGTTATGTATAATCATCACGAAAACGCAAGATCGCAATAAAAGTCTCTTTCAACTATATTGCCACGGATGCGTGGCGCGTCTCGGCTCAGTGGCATCACCTCGCGATGTATCTGGCGAGGAACGCGCCGAAGAGGACGATGTAGAGAAGAGACGCCGGCATCCGAAGCGCCCACGTGGTCGCCGACGAGATATCGCCGCATTGGGCTGAAAAATATATAATTAATTTTTTTTTTTTCCATGAAATATATATGAAATAAGGAAAGTAAAAGGAAGAGATAGAAATTTAAGCTGTATGGAAAAAAATTATTTTGTCAAGTTTAAAACAAACATTTTCTTAGAGAACCAAGTTTCTTTCAATTAGCAAGACTTTCTAATTAATGAGTGGATAAAGTTGGCAATTTATATATAGTGTTGTTCAAAATAAGAAGAAATTATAATTAGAAAAACGCGGACAAAAGGAGAATTTCGCGAACTCTCGCACGTGGAGACGCGTGCTGCATTCAGAATTAACAATGCTCACCGTACGACGTGAGGTTGACCTGCCACGAGACTGGATGGCGATGAGAGGCCCTCGGACAGGAAGCGAGATGGCCCGTCACCGAGAGTTCACGACTTCCTGTCGTCGCGGCGGACGCGCTGTAAACGAGGCAGTAACGTCCGACGTCGGTGCTGGCCACCAAGTAAGCGGTGTCGTTCTCGATCCAAGTTCCGTGGCATAAGTACTCTGGAAACGAAACGACAACATCGGCTGTGAGCGAGAAATGTTTGGAAGAAAAAAAAAAAAAAATGCTCAAGTTATTTTTCGCGCGATAGACGCCGAGCTAAGAACGGCGTCGCCGCAAAGTCGCATTAAACTCCTCGATTTTTTTCGAAGTAGCGCGAGGTAGAGTGAGATTACGAGCACGGTAATAACTTTGCGTTACGGTACAGAAGTTTTTTTTTTTTTCAAGACGATTTAGAAGAGGCTGACGACAATAACATGCTAAACTATGCGGATACGTATCTGACGGGGCGGCTGAAAAAGGTCATAAAAGTCGTTAATGAGATTTGGTATTCGTTCTTTGCTACTGTCAAGTTTGTTCTTCTGAGAAAAATGCATATTTATAATATCACGAAAAAAGAGAGAAAACATAGTTGTGTATGTTGTCGAGAAATTTATTAAATTACATTTTAGAAAAATTGTGATAAATAATAATATATGAAAAAGTATATAAAATACCTTGTTTTATGTTGAATCAAGTACTGTCTCGTCCGGCTTTCTTGACGTTATCACACTACTTTGAAGTTGAGAAAATGAATTGTTTCATCAAATGCTGTGAATTTATCGCTCGTAACGTTTTTACAACAGTTTCGTTTTCCCGGTGGACGAGATAACCATAATCCTTCAACCATTCAATTAACGTGTCCGATAAAAAAGCGGGAAAAATGCGATTCGATCGTTTCGAAAGCTACTTTTATGTCATCATTTCCACGGCACTTGCTCCCGCGCCTTCCGTAACAATGCGCGGCGAGAACGGAAGAGGAATAAACGAGAGTTATAAATCCCGCCGACACATCGATATCAGGCGTGACGTTTCGAGCGACGATACCCGATCGTACTTGCAAGATAGTAAGATGAGAATTTACTGCGGTCGCTCGACAGCTCGTGACTTCGTGTAAAGAGGAAACGCGAGACCGCGCGTCGTGTTCAACGATGGGTGATGGCACCTATCAACGGTAAAAAAATAAAAATAAAAAAAAAACGCGGTAAGCGACGTTGACGTATCAGAATAAATATAGAATTTTCTACCTGTTGTTTTGCAAAGGTACGACGGCACGAAAAGAATTCGATTGCGTCCACCGCATCGAGCATGGCGTATCTATTTTTGAAGAAATAGAACGATAGAAGTTAAAATAGAGTGAAGACAACGGACGGCGTCCATCAAGTCTTTCGAACCGTCACATTGTTAAGACAGCGTCCTCGGAAGCTCGTTTTCCAGAAGCTCTTTGAAAAATCCATTATACTTCTTGGTGCGTCGATGATAAGAAAAAGTTAATGCGGAAGATTCAAAGGTGACGACGACGACGATGTCGAATACGTCTATTAACCGTCCTGACCTACGTCACATGTCGAGAATCCGTTCAAGTTTCCAAATGTTTTAGGAACTCGTCACGGATGAAACTCTCTACGTCACTTATCAGACTTATCTCTCTGATTAACTTCCTTCGGTTGCTTCTTAAAGGACCGAGAAATTTCTGTAGCGCATAAAATGCAAAATAAAAAGGTTTGCCGTACGAAATAAATTTAATACGGCGAGACATCTATATTGCAATATCTAAATTCATGAGAATTTTAAATAATAAACCAGAGAGTGCTAGGACAGGAGAGAATGCTTTTCAGCTATTCAGTTAAAAGATTTTTCCCCAAATGTGTCATTTAAAATATACACATATATAATGGAAACATGTATGAATAATAAGACTTATCCTTCACTTAATTACAGAGAGTGCAAGGCATATAATAATAGAATTTTAAAAATATTGTAAAAATATAATTACAGTGCCCTTTTTTCGAAAAACAACAATATGACAGATGGTGAGAATAAATAATTCTTACCGGATAACACCTCGTCGCTGCAAGACGTAGCAAACTCCATGCGATCGGGTGTCCTGCAACCGATGTCCAATCTACGGACACTGCCGTGATGACACTGGCTCGGGAACGGCGTGGATGGCATCCTCACGTCGTGCATCTCTGCTGCGTTGGCAACGTTCTGCTCACCATCGGCGGCCAATAAGTTCTCGACATTGTCGGCGTGCGGTGGCCGAAACAACGACACGATCTCGTAACGACCGAGATTAGGGCATTGTCGGGTTATCGGATCGGATGCTGAAAGATGGGTGAAGATTATTTATTTACTTCGCATTTTTAGTCTTTTAATCGAATTGTGCGAGATCAACAAAATTAAGCTCCAAGTACTCGATC